GAGCATGATATTTTACCCCCAGAAATTCGCCTCCTAATATCAAAATTTCGCTTTTTAATCAATTCATTATTAAATATCACCTTAAAATATACAAGAATGACACCAAAAAAAATTAGAAAAAATTCTGAAAAAAATTGATAATATTTGAGAAAAATCTATTAACAGTCTGACTAACCAGACTATTTATTATTTTTTTGACAACTTTGTCTTGCTCTATCTCATCACGTTAGTTTGACTAACGCAATAAGATAAAGGTTCTAACTGATTTTTATTATATTAGGAGAAAAGCAAATAAATCTTCTTTCTAGATAAAATTTTATCTAAATAAAATTTTCTTTTTTCTAAATAAAAACATTTTTATAATTTTTTATTTATTTATGTTAATTTATACATCAACCAAAAAAAAAAAAAAAATACACAAGCGAATAAAAAAAAACAGGAGTATAAATAATTTTAAATAAGCATAAAAAAAAGTTAAAAGATTTTTTAAAATTTTGCTAATTCAGTTAAAACTAACATCTAACTTAGGCAACAAACTGCGTTTGGAACCTTTAATAGTTTAAAATATTTAATTATGTGTAATTAGTTTTTTTGATTGCTAAATGTTAAATGGCAAAAAAATATGCTTGATAAAGCAGTTTAGCGAAGTTACTTATGAAGAAAATATTGAGAATTTAAATGAAATATGAAAGAATCGGATTTCATCAAGAAAAATGGTAAAATCTGTAAGAGGGGCCAAAACGCTTTCACAATGAAATAAGAAATAAAAAATGAAAAAATAATAATGAAGAATTTATAAACGTTAATTCAACTAAAACAGCCCCAATAAGGCATTTTCATTTCCAGTAAACTATTTATCAGTATTTTCTGCTGAATGTGTAATAGACAAAAAAAATAACGAAAAAGTTTCAAATTAACAAATTGTTTTAGAAGAAACAGCTGATAAAAAATGCAATCCTGATAATAAATCAATATTTGTAGATTTTTTTTTGTACTCTTTTGTCTCAAAAAAACTGTCTTATTTGCGAAAAAAAAAACTTTTATATAAAAAGTTGAGAAATATTTCTAATGAAGTGATTGTTGACATCTATATAGAAAAAATATATTGATTCCACCTGGTTCGAGGTGTTGCAGCATGCCAATCGTCAAATCTATTAATCAAACAAAGTATGGAGATGTTATCATTCGGTAAAGGTAATATATAACTCAAAAAAAAGGAGGTTAAAAATCTTTTTAAAACAATCCTTAGTTTTGTACTTTGAAATTTGCTTTTTTATCATTTTATGAATAGAACGACTTTGATTGGATATAAATGTCTCAGATTAACTGGATTTACAAGAGTACAATTTATTGAAATAAGCAAATCACTTGATTCAATGAGAAATTCAATCCAGTGCTCTAAAACCTAGGCTTTGGCAATATATCTATTTTGGCTCAAAACTATATTAAATCATTTGACAATATCAATGTTTTTTAACTTGGATCCTAAAATTGATATAAGTCTGTTACTTCAGCAAGTCAGAAAGTCACTTGCCATTAATTTTGTTCCAAATAATCTAGGAGTGAACCACATCCAAATAAATGAATTATTAAAAAACAATTGCCTTATTGCTAAAGAGATTTTTCAAACAAGTGATGATACATTGGATTGCAGATTCCATGATTGTACTGAAGAGCTTAAGAAAGATTATAAACTTGATACAAAAATGCCTGCTTGCCTTAGAAAAGACCAGAAATAGTTAACAAAGTTTGAGTTATATATCGGAGCATCTTAACTAAGAAAAATAAAGTTAAGACTTTAAGGAACAATCGATTCAACTCAACATTGCAAATTAATCAATGTTGATGTTTAGTCTAGGCACAGTAAAACAGGAATGCGTACTGTCGGTTGCTGTAATCACATTGCAAGTGTTATTTTATATCTTTTAAGCAATGAAAAAAATATCAAAGAATTCAAAAGTACAGCTGATTCATGTTGTCTATTTTTCCTAAGTTGGCTATATTGGAGACAAGTGATGATGAAAATGAAGATAATGAGCAAGTCTGCAAAAAGAAAACTAAAACTAAAAAAATAGCAAAAGTAAAGCTTGGTTGAGCGAGTCAGAAATAGATAAAGCTCAAAACTCTGACAATGAGAATACTTTTCCAGATGGTTCCTTACAGATACTGTCATCACCAAAGAAATTCAAAACATTTCAATCACCAAATAAAAATAAAAACCTAGAATGATTTTTCTCAAAAGCGCCTAAATGGGGATCTAAACGTACAGTAAAGTCTAATTTAACAACTCTCCTTTTTAATAACACTTGTACAATAGATTATTTTCTTTTATCAAATTGGACATCAGTTCAACTCGAACCAAGCTTGATAAACTTTTTGCAAAGAAGTACTTTAAAAAAATCTTTATATGATATAATTTAGCTAATAGATAAAAAAAAAAAATGGGATGAAGCCAAAACTAACTGGGTAGTCAAGATCTGCATGATTTTACCAATTTATAAAGAGTATTTATATTATAAATTTTTGAATGTATACTTGTAAAGTTTTAATGTTTTCTGCCTACAAGTATGCGCACGTATGTTGTTTACAGAAAGCTGCCCACCTACCATATGTATAGATGGAAGCTCTCTAATAGATTGTTTTGGATCTGAATATGAGTTTTTCATTGAGTATTTAGTTGATTTACAATCTTATAAAGCCACGACTGAATGCAAAAACTGTACAATTACTCAGAAAAACTAATAAAGGACATTTTTTTCAAATGGGATATTAATGGTGTCGTTCTAAACATGCAAAAGGAAAGGCTATGCTTTTATTCTGGCAGTATTATGAATAATAAAACTCGCTACTTTTATTCGTAGAAACAGCCCAGCAATCAATTTTTACAGTTGATAACCACCCTGACAAGATGAACAGAACAACCTATCGCTTTTTGTGTTGTACATTTTGTAAAAATAATCACTTTCAATTAATTTTCTAGCTAAAATCAATGTTGTACTTAAATGATGATCTTAAACCAACTCAACATGACTATACCTTGCCACTCAGTTAACACAAGCTTCTACTTTTTGAGTTACTGAAAATGTAAAAAACTACTTTTAATTGAACTGTTTCTGAAGTATGAAAGAAGATATAATTTTTTATAACTTGTTAGATATTTTTTGAATAACGAATAATGAAAAAAAAATCAACATAATTCTTAACACCTATTGCTGTTTTTACTCTTTAATGTAAGCTTATATTGACAAAAACGCATAAACTTTAATTGACTATTATATATACTATCTTATTATTTAAAAACTGCGGTATATTTGTTAATGTTTATTACTGTTTACCTTTTTCTATGTTTATATCTATAATTTTTCAGTACATATTTTTTATATATTTATACATATTTTTTTTTTATATTAATATCTATTTTTACATTTATACCTGCTCTATTTCTATATTGATACCTATACTTGTTTTTCTGTATTACTTCTATAAAGCTAAACTCAAGTCACATATTTATGACAACATAATAAACTATATGTATCTAATTTAAAAAAAATATAATTATTCAAAATATTATAAAAAATTTAAATAAATAAAAATGGGACCCATGTGGATCCCACATATGCAGCCCATATAGGCTGCCCACTTGGGCCCCAATTCATGTCCAGCGACAATTTTCTTTGAGCGGGATGTGGGAAACCCATTTGGGCCCCATAAAGCTGCCCACTTGGGCCCCATGTGCGACCCAATATGACTTGCTCGCTGGGAAAGAGAGGTGACTTTCAGACTGTTTTTTAGGATTGTTGCCAACAGAGATCTCAATATATCTTTTTTTTATTAACAACCAGCGTCCTTGGTGTTCTATGATTGTTCCTTAGTTAACTTTGTCTACTGTAAAAATATGGTTTTAATTTAGTAAATTTTAGTTATTTGAAGTTGATCATTAGCTAATAGTTTGAAAAAAATTAAGTTGCAATTAATGTAAGAATAATTTAAACTTCTTGTCAAATAAAAAAATTGTTTTAACTGTTAAGTATTATATTTTTGTTATTTTGTGTAATAGTTATTTGTCTTTGCAATAAATGTCTTTTTTTTCAAATTTTAACTATTTTTAATAATGCTTAAAAAAAAGCAACAGCAACAGGTAAATTGATTTGTAGTGTTTATATGTAATGTTTTTACTTCTTTTATCAAATCATAATTGTTTTTTCTTCTGAGAAATGATTTTTTAGCATTTTAAGACAAAGGCTTCCCTCCCTTTTGTTAACCAATGATGTAGATGTAGCTGAATGTTTTTTGTTAATATATCTTTTTTTATTTTGTTTTGATATTTTATATATAATAATTATAAATAATAAAATGTTGTTTTGTTAAATGATGCTTTGTTTCAAAAAAATACTTTTTATTTTTTTTTGTAAATAACAACTTGTATTATATACTTGAAAATAATTTCATTGAAAAAATATTTTTTTTTCCTTTTTTTTAACAATTAATGTTTTGCTAATTATAAATAAATATATAAATAAACGTTATTTTATTTTGCATTTGATTATTTTGGTATAATTAAAAACAATTTTAGAAACAGACTTACAAAGGTTAAATTTCCAATTATTTTAAAAAGGTTAAAATTCCTATTATTTTAAGAACAGACTTACAAAGACCCATATTTTACGGATGCGGACAGCTAGAACTTTATTACTATTTTTCACTACTTGTCCTGGTTTTTCCATAGAAGAATGCAATAAAAATTTCAATTTTAATAAGTGCAGTGCAGTGTTTATTAAAACAAAGACAGTGCACATTAAAACAAAGACAATAGTCACCCTAATAATAATAATAATAATAATAATAGTAATAATAATAATAATAATAATAATAATAATAATAATAATAATAATAATAGCAATAATAATAATAATAATAATAACAATAATGTTATTATTATTTTTATTATTATTGTTATTATTGTTGTTAATACTATTATCATTATTATTAAAAGGTAATACCAACTGAGCATGTTATGCCATCTGCTTGTAAATATAATCCATTTGGACAAGAACATATAGCCTGATCAGAGATAACTTCGCAAATATATTCGCAACTTTTCCATGAACACCAATCTTAAAAAAATCAAAAAAAAAATAGTAGATCATAGAAATAATATGTTAAACTTTATTTAGAAATAAAAACCTAAAGGAAACAAACAAAAAAAATAATAAAAAACAGATAAACTTAAATAATATTATAATAAAAATTCAAAAAGAATATTAAAAATTTTTAAATTTTATTTCTTTATCTTAACAAGCGCTTTTCTCAAAGTATTTCATACTATTTAGTAAACATATTTTTTTTCAGAACTAATTATCACATAAAACTTTTTTTGGATTATTTAAATAATAATTAGATTATTATTTTTATTAAAACTTTAATATATTTGAAAACAAGTTAATGTGTTACAATTTTTATTCTATAAAAGGGTAATTTAAAAAATTATCAGCGAAATCAAGTTAATATTTTTCTAAATAATAATTTATTGAAAATAAAATTGATTGAGTCACTATTCTATTGGATAAAGTTTATTTTCAAATGAAATGTCTAGATTTAAAAAAAGAACAATCATTTACATATATTGTTATAATTAGATTTAGAAAAATTATTTAAATTACCATGCGGTAGTGGTGTAGTGGCAAAACACTCGCTTCATAAGCGAGAGGTTCTGAGTTCAATTCCCATCACGCCCTTGGTAGTACCGCGCTCAACTTGTTTCTCCGCGCAGCGGCCTTGTTCGTCAAGGATCGTGTTCCAAAGTTATAGAGTTGAGAGAGGGTTATGACCACTATTAAGTAGCCTCCTCGTCTTTAGTGGCCTTCTCGGCCAGAAGGAGGTGAGGTGAATAACAAAACAAAAAACAAAAAAATGACTCAAATAAGTAATATTAAAGTTGTAATACTAAAATAATTTTTTAAAGTTGCTATTGGCCTTAAGGAGATTAAGAAACTAATTTAAATTAATTCGCAATTTAAAATAATTCCACAAGGCCTTGTGGAATTATTTTAAATTGCGAATTAATTTAAATTCTGCTATTCCTTCTTCTGATCTTGGTGTTGATGGGAACTATCCTTTGATTCGTAAAGACTCCAATAGTCTCATGATTATCTTGGAAGTATACATATGCATCAATTCACCTATTTGTCATGAAATCAGGTTCAAATCTTTTGACCATTTTATATGTGCTTCCACTGAGCACCTCTACACTTTATAACCTTTCTCTTTGCACTTTATTGTTCTCCTATTTCCCAAGACTGCATTCTTTTAGATGTAATTTCTGATCAAGTTGACCATGGCCTCTCTCTTTACTTCTCAGCCAAGATTGTTGAGTAAAATTAAGTCAAATAACTTACTATCTGGCAATCAATACGGTTTTCAATCCTCTCACTCTACAGCTGATTTGGTAACTGCTATGACCAAAATATTTTATAGTGCATTAGATGGAGTCAGAGAGGCTAGGGCTATTGCTCTTGGCATATTTAAGGTTTTAAACAAAATTTGGCAAGCTGGTCTTCTCCATAAGCTTGTTTCATATAACAAGCCCTCCTGGAAAGCGCGTGCGGTCACATGCCTTGTTCGCCTACGTTTAAAGTAATTTTTTAGACGTTCTGACCACGGTAGTTTGCATCTTTTAAATTATAAAACGTTTCAGCAAAAAGCTAAATTTATCTACTGAAAAAAATAAACAATCTTTGAAAAAAGGAAACAATATTGTAAGTTTTAATTTAAACTAGAAAACTTAATAATTAAAAAAAGAAAATTTATTAAAAAAAATTTTTCTATATAATTTTTATACAACATTTGTTTTCTTTTTTTTAAAGTGGTTGTTGTTTTTAGCTACCGAGTTGAATACAAATCGATCAAAAAAACATCTCTTTTGTAAAATTTTAACAAGAAAAGTTTTATACGCAAATTATTCACAATTTTTATCTGTCTGTATAATTAAGAAACTAATTTGCAATTAACGCTAGAACTATGAGAAATTTTGTCAACTTTTTGTCTATTATTTATTCGTTTTGACGTCTTTTCACTTTAAAAAATGTGTTTACTATACTTGATATTTTTTCTCAATACTTATATAAGTGGAAAATAAGAAAATAAATTGCTATTTATTTTTTTACATATTTATTTTATACAATATATATTTGTAAAATATATTATTTGATTTAAAAATTTTGTAATGACGGAATAAATTAAATAAAAAAAAACCTGGTTTCTTTTATATATGAATTTTACCACATTTGATGCATGTCTGAAATTGTTTCTCTTATATTTCAGACATGCATCAAATGTGGTAAAATTCATATATAAAAGAAACCAGGTATTGAAAGCAACCAAATATTTTATATTTAAGTATAAGTAATAATACCTTTTTTTTTAACATGAAAAACTTGTTAAAAAAATTAGTACTTAACTTTCTTTCTTTCTTTCCTGTGGATTGATAAAAAAAGTGTAGAAAAAACATTGGAAAAACAAATATAAAAATTGTTGATGTTTCTAGCGCAATTAATAAAGTATTTACTTAATATACTGACTGAAATAAGTCGCAAAAAAATTGTATATCAAAAAATAATTTATTTTCGTTATATTTTTATTTAATTTTTTACTCGACTTGTATAAATTTTGATAGTGAAAAATAATAAATGCCCTAAAAATAAGAAAACAAAAACAGTAACAAATATAGGTATATTAATTTTTTGATAACATTTTTTTTTTAATATTGTATTATCTTTAGCTTATTATATTTAGATTTTCTTTTTAGTACAGTCTTTATTTCCTTTCTTCGAGTATTGCTGTTTTATACTCTCTTGTTTATTATAGCTTTATTTTGTTGCAAATTTTGCTGCAAAACAATAAAAAAAGGTAGTCAAGTTGTTTAAAAAAACTACTTTAGTTGCAGACAAGCAAGGTGTACGACTGCATGCGCTTCTGAGGAAGGCTTGTATGGTGTATCTGAGAAAGTTTTTAAGATAATCAAATCGTTTTTTTGTAACCACTTTATTAAATTCATCCTTGAAGGGCAACAGTCTTCTTTATTTCCAGTAATTTTTGGGGTACTTCAAGGTTCTATCCTTGGTCCTGTTTTGTTTCTTATTTACATGAATGATTTTCTCGACAACCTTACATCTACACTAGATCTTTTTGCTGATGACTCAACTTTTTACTCCTGCCTTGAAAAAAAATCTTTATTTATTGATTGCTTAGAACAAGCAGTGGATCCTGAATCTGATCTCACTTCTGCAACAGATTAGGGCTCACAATAGCTTGTAAATTTTAAATCCAACTAAACTCAGTTATTTACTGCAAACAACTATCGCAGTACTGTTGACATTCCTATATTAATGAATGACAACTCTCTCACTGAGTTCTCTTCTTTATGTCTTCTTGAACTATTGTTTTCTACTGACGTTTCATGGAAACCATATATACAATGGATTGTTTAAATAGCATCTGATAAAGTTGCTTTATTTTATTGTGCTCGCCATTTTCTCTCTTCTGATTTCATTCTCTACCTCTACCAATCTCTAACTTGTCCCTGTATAGAATACTGTTGTAATCTTTTGGGCTGGTTTTTCTAATGACGCTCTTTCTCTTCTAGATAAGGTCCAAAAACGCATTGTAAACGTAGTTGAACCCACTTTATCTGCTAAGTCTGAGCCTCTTTCCCATTGTCATAAAATTGCATCTCTTTCTCTTCTCAACAAGTACTATAATGGTTGCTGCTATCAAAAGGAGCTATCATTTCTTGTTCCATCAACTAAAGCTCATTCTCGATTGACTCGTCATTCAGCAAAGCCTCATTCTTTTACTGTATCTGTCCTTGCATACTCTTAAAACTTTTATTCGTCTAGTTTTTTTCCCTGTACCTTAATCCTTTGAAACTCTCTTCTGTCTGGATATTTTGAAACCCTATACGGGCTCAGAACAAGCAGAGATATGCGCAATCTGATTGGGTGATTATGAAAGAGAGGCTTTTGCACTTATTTTAAAATTATAACAAATGTCAAAAAGCATACTGAATAATTATATTGAAATCAACTGCAGAAAAATCATAATTTATACTTTGTTAAGTTTTGTGAAAGTACTTATACTTTCACAAAACTTAAAAAAGCATTCATGATTTTCATAATATTTTCTTGAAAAAAAAGATTTAAAAAAGTATTTTTTTTTCCTAATGGCTCTTATAACACAATAAGATATAAAAAACAACAACCATTGAAACAAAGTATGCTTCAATGGTTTGTTTAACAAACTATAAACAAAATAGTGAAACTTGATTATGCTGTGATTCCTTTACGATAGATTTTTAAAAACATTTTTATAATTTACCTTGTAAAATCAGTAGAATACTAATAACTTGGTTTGATTATTTTCACATTGAGTTCCTATTAATCCTATCATTCAGCTTGTAATTTTTCAAAGATATCTAGTTTTTTTTTTCAAAATTTTCATTTATTACTCCTATATATAAATTATATACATTACTAAAACATTTTAAGTTTGAGAATGCATATTGGTTGTTATAGCAAGCCAAGGTAACTTGCAACTCGAGTGTTGCAAAAGACATTGTAAGCAAGAGCTGATTTAGATAGCCTTTGGTAATGTATAGTAATAAAAGATTACAAATAATTGTAGCATAATAAATCGCCTTTGATTTCATAATAAACTCGCCTTTGATTTCTTATTTTCCACGCTGTTTGGTAATCAAATTTATAAAGGTTAAACTCTGTTAAAAAATTATTTTTATATATATCAACAGGTGCATTTTAAAAATTTGTCAAAAAGTTTGTATTTAAATCCATCGTCACAGAAAGAAATACTTATGATAAATTGCTACTGCAATCTGGTAAAATTGCCTATGAAATGGTATGCCAACCTACAATGCCTCACTCACATTTTTCTGTTTTGGTAAGATTTAAAACTTTTCTAATATATGTGCGAAACATCATTTTTGCCATTATAACATTTTATTCAACAGGGTAGATTAGGGCACCTTAAGCAAAAAATAATTTTTTTTCTAAATTAATTATTCATAATCCAAAATTTTTTTCAAACAAACAATTTTTAGGGA